CTAAAACCCCCCCCCCCCCGGGTCACTTGTAGTTATTTTAGTACAATGGGCTCCATTCACAAAGCTCTAACCCCAGCGTAAGGACCATTTTTGGTTCAGCAATGCAACTGTCATTTTTTGTTTGAAGTCCCATTGAACATTGAGATGAAAGTAACTGTCACTTTTTTATTTAACCACCTGATGTCCGGCCGTTGTAATTAAACGACCGGACAGCGGCTTCTTGAGAGCGGGTGCACGTTTTTTTTCCCCCCATTCTTCCAATTCTTCCATTCTTCCAATTCAGCCTGCACTGTAAGGCCGCGTTCACACCGGGGGCGTTTTGTAGCGCGTTCGAACGCTCTGCAAAACGCTCAAACACCGAAATCCCATTATTTCCTATGGGTATGGTTCACACCTGGGCGTATTACAGGCCGTATGAACGCGCTACAAAACGCCCTACGCCCAAAGAAGTACAGGAGCTTCTTAGGGGCGTTTTTGTCGCGCGTTTCCATTGGGATACAGCCAAGTAGCCCTCGGAAACACGCGTTTGTCGCGCGTTTTTTACCACAAATCGCGCGCGACAAAAGCGCATATTCGATGCGCATATTCGATACGCCTAGGTGTGAACCCAGCCGGCGATATTTACATACAAGCGTTCGGGCGTCTGTAGAGACGCCCGATCGCTTGTAATATGCGGTCGGGTGTGCGCCCCCTCCGCCGCTGCTGGCGATCCCGGGCTCTGCTGTGCCCGGTGTGAGCCCGGGACCAGCACAGCAGCTCTGCGGCCGGAGATCAAACGGAGCTCAGTACACGATCTCCGTTTGATCTCCTCTTCGGAATGCAGGCAGTGATATGTATTAATCACTTCCTGCATTCAGTGTCACTCTCCGGTACAGAAACCGGAGAGAAGCTGGCGAAGCAGGTCTCCATCAGCTTCTCTGGGGTTCCCTAGGTGACATTAGGGGTCTTAAAGACCCCTGATGTCTCCATAAAGAGGACCTGTCACTGCAAATTGGCTATCACATAGGGAGCTTGTTTGCTCCCTATGTGATGGCAATAAAGTTCAGTGGAAAAAAAAAGGTTTAAAAAAATTTGTTACAAAAAAAATAAAAAATCACATATCAAAGCAATAATAAATAAGTCACACGCACATGCACACGTCAAGCCCGCCTACGTGCGAAAACGCCGATTACATCCATTGCGCCGCACATGTTGCAAATCGCCGCGAACGTCGGAGTGAGGAATAATTTTAGGGCCATCAATCACTGATCACACTAAACTGATGAGCGGTAAAAGCTTTTAAGCGTCACCTATGGCCAATTTTGACTATGGTAGTTTGTTGCGATTTAACGGGTGCGCGCAATTTTAAAGCTTGACATGTTTGGTGTCTATTTACCCGACGTGACCCCCGTCTTTTAGATTTTACACAAAAATTGCGTAAAATGCTTTATAACATAACGTAGGGAGAAGTTTTTTTTGTTTTTTTTTCCAAAATTTTCGGTACTTTTTTATTATATAGTAAAAAAAAAAGAAGCTCTGTGTCCCCAAGAAATGGTATAAAATTAATTTCAGTACAGCGTTGCATGACGGAATAAATGTCAAAGAACTGCAGCGCTGAATACTGAACTATGGCCGGGACAGGAAGGGGGTGTAACACCGCGTTCAGCAAGTGGTTAAAGTCCCATTTGAATTCCGCTGAAAAAAACTCACTTTTTTATTTGGAGTATCCCTTTATCTGGTGTGTTAGCTTTGTGAACTGAGCCTCGTGTCGGTGCGGTGTACCCCTATGTCGGTGCGGTGTACCCCCATGTCGGTGCGGTGTACCCCCATGTCAGTGCAGTGTACCCCCCCCTATTCTTTTGTAGGAGCGGAGTCCTGGTAAAGCGTCCCATGCAGCTCTATCTCGCACAGATGACTCATTCATAGGAGTTCCGCCATTAGACCCGATGTATCAGGAATAGGAGGATGGGGTTGTTGCGAAACCTGTGACGTCTTTTAGTTTAGCGCCGGAATAAAATACATTTTGTAGGCCATGCAATGTTTCTGATTCAATATTTTTGGGAGCGTGATATAAATCCCAGTATAATTCACTATAGCATCTTCGACAGTTTTTTGGGGGGTCATGCCGCCGAACAATGTCCACCTCCAAAATCGGACATGCCGAGCAACAGTTCTAACGCTGTAGGGGACGCGTGCGGCAAAGTCGGGTAGTTACTAATGGCACATTAGCCTTTTTCAATGGCTGCAACAGATTAATTCAAGAACTGCTGCCATTTTAGCTATAAGGAAACTGGGGTTAAATTAAGACCAATGACTTTTTGGGATAGAGGAGTTTGTCCCGTGGCTGCCAGCATCCTAGCAACCAATGACGCTCAGCTGCAGAACATCATTGGTTGCTAGTAGGGATATACCAATACTAGTATCTGTGCCGATGCCGAGTATTGGGTTCGTCCTCGCACAAATGCTCAGCTGCCTAGCCCCATACCCAAACTTCCGGTATTAGGCGGCGAGTCATTAGACGCTGACCGGCTTCCTGATTGGCCGGGAAGCCGGTCAGCGTGTAATTGACTCTCCGCCTAACTTCCTGATTGGTCGGGAAGCTGGCCAAACAGGAAGCCGAGCGGCGAGTCATTACCTGTCCCCCGGCTTCCTGATTGGTGAGAAAGCCAGCTTCATGCTTCCTCGTCACCTGGTGATGAGGAAGCATGGGGACGGCTTCCCTGCTAACCAAGGAGCCGGGTGGTGAATCTTTCCATGCTGACCAGCTAATCAGAAAGCCAGGTGGCGAGTCATTACACACCGCCTGGCTTCCTTAATGGGACTTTCGGTATCCGCGAGTACCGAAAAAAAATAATAATGGTACTCTATACCGAAAAATCGGTATCGGTGCATCCCTAGTTACTAGGATACCCCCAGCCCTGTCCTAGTAGCCAATCGGGCTTGTCCGCACAATGACCTGGAATGAGTATGCATACGAGTGAAGTTGGACACCATTATTCCCATGACTGATCCAGGTAAGGGGACACAGTATGAAAGGAAGAGGAAGCCAGGCGACTTGCATTTTCAGCATGAGGAGCATTCATGGTAGCCTCCATCTGTGTCAGGAAGGGTTCCCTTTAATTTGCGCTCAGTGACGCGTATAGGTATATCTTTCGGTGTGTTCTGTGACTTTTTGTTGCTCATCTCTGTTCCCCGCTTTTTGTCTTGCAGCAGAACGCCAGCGCCTCTTGTCTCCATCTCCACATTATGGCTCCTCGCTGTGCGACCAGCTCAGTCCGGAGGAGGTGCAGCTCCGACGCCGGCTGAAGTATTTCTTCATGAATCCGTGCGATAAGTTCAGAGCCAAGGGAAGGAAACCCTACAAGCTGGTCCTGCAGCTCATCAAGATCCTCATGGTCACTGTACAGGTATTGTGCTCTTGCCTCATTAGACTTGGTGATGTTGGTTTTTTGCCTTTTCTGATTGTGGCTGTCAGTCTTGCAATGCCTCCATGGGACTTCTTGTTCTCAACAGCTGAAGTGCTGAGGTTGCCCACCCCTGGTCTATACGACTCTTGGGAGACTGAAATGTATTTGTCCAAGTACTTGGATCCGGCGTAGTACACGGCAGCTGTCACACGTCGGCTCTATAGATCGAGAACTGAGCGATTACAAACCACTGATCACTCGGCTCAGTCTTCACTCTCTGCAGGGTTTCCCTCCTCCCCTCTCTGATCCTCCAGCACTGATTGGAGGGACAGACGGAAGGGGGGGCGGGCACAGCTGGCTCTGCATATAGACATGCAGAGCCAGCTTTCAATCAGGCAGCCGGGTGGATCCTGACAATATTGTCAGGATCTCTCCGCGGCTGCAGCATGGCTCCGCGCTGTCGGCATAAAGCGGGCAATAGCTCAGTAGATATTGGCTTTGGGTCCCAGGAATACATTAGTAAATCTCCTGTGACCCAAAAGGGAAGTGGAGCCAAAAAAAAGTTAAAGGAGAACTATGAGGGGGGGGGGTGCTTTTCACTCACCTCATAGTTCTAGCCGACCAGTGACAATGAGACTGTCACAGGTCGGCTCAGTAGATCGGGAGGTGAGCGAACACATACCGGCGTTCGCTCACTTCTCGATCCTGTCACGGCTCTCTGCCGTGACAGGGGAGGGGCTGGATTCCCCCCTCCCCACTCCGATCTGCCAGCGCTGACTGGCGGAACGGACGGGGAGGGGGCGGGTACAGCTGGCTCTGCCTCTAGATAGGCAGAGCCAGCTGTCACTCGCGCAGCTGGGCGGATCCCGTCGTCTAAGTCGGGATCCGCTCCGGCGTCTCAGTATACCGCGAGCTGTAGCTCGCGGTATACTGAGCTTAGGGTGACGGGAGGACGCTAGTTTGTGTCCTCCCGTTACCCTAAGGAGAACTATGGGGAAAAACACTGACCCCATAGTTCTCCTTTAAGTAAAAATACTTGTCTTGTCTGTCATCTTGAATTGCTTGCTTCACTACTTTGAATTGCTGAGTATGCAGATGAAGACAGTGTCTGTCTTCAGCAGGCTGACACTGCAAAACAACCTTCCCTCTGAAAACATTAAAGGGACTTCCAACCTCTGCTAGGAGCATGTCCGGAATGTCTGAGCGCACAACAAGACTTGATTGACGCGCATGTCATCACGTGTGACCGTACATTACTCATCTGTCTGTTGCAGCTTATCCTGTTTGGCCTCAGTAACCAGATGGTGGTGCAGTTTAAGGAGGAGAACACGGTGGCTTTCAAACATCTCTTCCTGAAGGACTACACGGATGATTCAGATAAAAGCTTCGCCGTCTACACCCAGAATGATGTGTACGAGCATCTGTACTATGCCGTGGAGCAGGTGAGAGTGCAAGATAATTGCATATTCCTATGGGCGGTGCATTGAGTTCCTTAGCTGTCAGCTGCCAATGAGAAATGGTCTATAGCGGGATTTGTGGCACTTAAAGTGACACTTAACCCAGGAGTTAAATCTTAAAAATAAATTTTTACGATTAAAAATACATTCAGGTTCCTTAACTATTGACAAGAATGTATCTTATTTGTGTATCACTCGGCTGTAGATCCTCCAATCATCTCTGAATTGGTGCCGACACTGTCCTTCCTTCTGGAGGGGGGCTACTTGTGTTCCCTATGGTCCCTGCGTGTGTGTTGTAAAGTAGTCACCGCTCCAAGCTCGCTACTGTGATCGACTACAATAGAAATGAGTTTACTGAATGCGAGATTGTAGTCCATCCCGGGGGTGAGCTTGGAGCGGTGACTACTTTACAACACACACGCAGGGACCATAGGGAACACAAGTAGCCCCCCTCCAGAAGGAAGGACAGTGTCGGCACCAATTCAGAGATGATTGGAGGATCTACAGCCGAGTGATCGGAAGAGCGTCTGCGCATTTGCCAGATGTAGTTTCAAGATGGCGTCTCAGGAGCTGAGTGGTGCAATTAGAACTGCCTGCTCTGATTTGGTTATCACAGCGATCACATGGCAATGTTTACATTCTAATGTACATTAACCCCCTTCAGTCCCTCCTGTTTTGCATGAGCCTGTGCCGACGCTCAGGCTGCGCGCAATCTGTTCGTAGTGGCAATCCAGCCGGCCGCCCTCAGTGGACCACGCACTTTCCTCCTTACCTACCTCTGGTCTCAGCGGCTCCAGTAAGTCCTGGTTTGTAGCTGTGTATCAGGGACTGCTGACACTTGTAGTGCCCTCACACACAGGATACCAGGACGGTTGTATAATGATTATGTTCTGTTTTAAGGTGTGTGTGTGCCAAAAGTATTGGGTAGTCTGCCTTTACACACACACGAACTTTAGGCCTTATTCACACTAAGAACCGGCTCGTACAGATCCGTGCGATATGCATGGCCGTAGCGGGCCGCTCCCAGGAAGGACAAGTGCTGCGTGTGATTGTACGCAGCAGCCTGTTCTTCTCTATGGGAGTACGCCGACGTACGCTCATCCGAACTGCATATCTGTACGAGTGTGCATGCTCTGAGGCAGACAGGATAGGTCCTGACTGCGCATGAGTATGGACACCCGCACGGATGTGCAGCTTTGGTGAGTGTACGGCGGCGTACTCCCATAGAGAAGAACAGGCTGCTGCGTACAGGCTGCTGCGTACAATCACACGCAGCGCCTGTCCTTGCGTGCATGGCAGCTCTTGGGATCTGTACGAGCCGGCACTTAGTGTGAAATGAGGCCTCAATGGCATCCCAGTCTTAGTCCGTAGGGTTCAGTATTGAGTTGGCTCCGCCCTTTGCCGCTATAACAGCTCCGCCTCTTCTGGGAAGGCATCCACAAGGTGTAGGAGTGTGTCTATGGGAATGTTGGACCATTTGTGAGGTCAGGTACTGATGTTGGGGGAGAAGGCCGGGCTCGCAGTCTCCGTTTTCTAATTCATCCCAAAGGTGTTCTATAGGGTTGAGGTCAGGACTCTGTGCAGGCCAGTCACGTTCCTCCACCCCAAACTCCCCCATCCATGTCTTTATGGAGCTTGCTTTGTGCACTGGTGCGCAGTCATGTTGGAACAGGAAGGGTCCATCCCCAAACTGTTCCACAAAGTTGGGAGCATGAAATTGTACAAAATGTCTTGGTGTGCTGATGCCTTAAGAGTTCCCTTCACTGGAACTAAGGGGCCAAGACCAACCCCTGAAAAACCCCACACCATAATCCCCCCCCATCTCAGGTGTGTTCCATTGTCTTCGGCCAAGCTAGTGTATACACTTGTATTTAATTTTCTTAAACGTTTCTAGGCAAGGGTTTAAGTTTGAGATTAGTTTGGTGACATGAGCTCTTTAATTTCATGCAGATTTTATATCAAATGTTCTGACCGTATAAGAATATATGTATATATCTAGATATCTGGTAATGATTTAACAGTTTCGTGTTCGATTAATCGAAATTTGTTTTTAATCGATTAATTATAACGCACATACAGATCCAACTACATTGGCCTATACACATACAGCACAGCAATGAAGTAATACAATGAACTAGGATCACACTAATCCAGCACGTTATTAATCTCACGTGCCCCACTCAATATGGCCGCCACTTGAGGGGGGCAACTCAGAATAATAACGTGCTGGATTAGTGTGATCCTAGTTCATTTTATTACTTCATTGCTGTGCTGTATGTGTAGATCAAAATAATTTTAATCGATCAAAAAGTTTAAAGTTTAACGATTAATCGAGAGATGAATTGTTAATTTCTTCAGCCCTATATAAATTTTTTTTGTCAGAAGTAGATTGGGTCTCCGCATAGAAAAAAATTCAACACCCCTGAATTTTTTGTCTTTACCCCCCCAGTGAACTATTCAGCCTGTAAGTGATCACTGTTAGGAACCGACTAAAGTGATCACATGACCACTCTGATTTGATAGTTGTGGGGACCCCGAAATTACATTGGCGGGGGGTTGATTAGAGTGGGCGGGGTGATTGCTTGAGAGTGGGCGGGGGGATTGAGAGCCGGCGGGCAGGGGATTGAGAGGCGGCTGTTGGCGCTCACGGGTTAGAACGTATATGTACATCTCCTTGGTGTGGGTCATCATGCTGGTAAGCGTCTATGGGCGGAGTTTGGTTAATAGGCCTAGAAGGTGTGGCTGCTGCATTTTGTACGGAGGAAGTAACTTGAATGTAAAACATTTTTCTGATTTTCATGTGTAACCATTTTTTTTTTTCCAAGTTATTTTGTCTTTCACTATATTCCTTTTCCAACCTTTACTCCCGATTGGCGAGCTTATTTCCTTATGTTTCGACAATGACTGCACGCAAACATTGTGCCGGCATAGCCTGGAAAGGGTCAGCTCACCGTTCTTTCCCATTGTTGTGTATTGTATAGATGTCATTGTTAATATTTATAGAGAACTTTTTTCTTTTTCGCCAACAGTATCTGTCTCTGCCCAACCAAACCACGGCTCGCTACGCCTATGTTCACAACTTCAACCAATCGGCGCTTTCCATCTGTCAGCAGTATTATCGCAAGGGCCACATCGATCCGGCCAACGATACCTTCAATATTGATCCGCAAGTTGTTACAGGTAAAGATTTGGTATCCCCGGGGTCTGGTAATGGTCGGTCAGATGTCCGGCAATGATCAGTATAAGGTGCTGTTCAGTACAGTTGGCAGCTAATCGTAACTGGCCTGCCGTGTCTACACCATTGTGTGACCTGCACGCAGACACTGGGGTCACCGATGTCCCTTAAGGAGGAGAGAAGGTTTCACTATAACTTTATTTTCCCTACAAACCGGCTCACAACTTAAAACGTGATTCCACTTGAGCAGTCAAATTTGAGAACCCCTCGAATTGTTCTGTGTTCCTGTTCACACTGTGTGTGTGTGTGTGTGTGTGTGTGTGTGTGTGTGTGTATACATACATACACTTTTTTTTAGTAGTTTTGTTGTAGCAGGCAACATGGCTGATTCCAGGTTTTTGCTCAGCCCCTTCACAGTGATCTGTCCTTACAGGAAGACTTGGCACTGAAATTTGAGGGTTGTGATTACTTCATTAACCAGCTCCCGTCCATTGGTCATTCCTGAACGGCCGGACGGGAGCCTTATAGAAGCGGGAGGGCATCTTTAACACGTCCTTCCCCCCTCCCCGCACCCAGTGCGCACACGAGTGGGGAAACTGTCAGAAATGTAAACAGTCAGCGATGGCTGCTAACATTCAAGCGATCGGGTGTCTCTCTGATGTATATGACATCACTTCCTGCATTCAGTGTCACTCTGGCAACATATGCAGGTGAGAAGTTGCTGAAGCAGACTTCTCTACGGGTCTTAGAGATGTCTTCATAAAGAGGACCTGTCATGTGTCAGCAATAAAATGTAAAGCTTAAAAAAAAAATGGTCACAAATAAGAAAGAAAAGAAAAAAAGAAATTACACATTTTTTTTTTTTAAAGGAGAGCTATGAGGGGAGTGCTTTTTACTCACCTCATAGTTCTAGCCGACCTGTGACAATGAGACTGTCACAGGTCGGCTCAGTAGATCAGAAGTGAGAGAACACAGTAGAGTAGAAGTGAGAGAACACATACCGGCGTTCGCTCACCTCTCGATCCTGTCACGGCTCTCTGCCGTGACAGGGGAGGGGATGGATTCCCCGCTCCTCCAGCGCTGACTGGCAGAACGGACGGGGCGGGTACAGCTGGCTCTGCCTCTAGATAGGCAGATCCAGCTGTCACTCACGCAGCTGGGCGGATCTCGACATCGATGTCGGGATCCGCTCCGGTTGCGGCGTCTCAGTATACCGCGAGCTGTAGCTTGCGGTATACCGAGCTTAGGGTGACCGGAGGACGCTAGTTTGTGTCCTCCCGTTACCCTTAGGAGAACTATGGGGAAAAGCCCTGACCCCATAGTTCTCAAAGTCCCCCGCCCACATACACACGCAAACATGCCTTGGGTGCACCTACATGCGAAAACGACTATTGCGCCCATTACGCCACATGTTAAAAAATACAGCGAACGTCAGTGAGAGCAATAATTTTAGGGCCATCAATCACTGATAACACTAAGGCTGGGTTCACACCTGGGCGTACAGAACATGCGCGTTTTTACAAAAAATGCGTGCTTCCGAGGGCTATCCGCTGTATCCTAATGGATATGCGCGGCAAATACGCTCCAAAGAAGCTCCTGTACTTCTTTGGGAGTAGGGCGTTTTACAGCGCGTTCCTACGTGCTGTAAAACGCCCAGGAGGGAACCATGCCCATAGGCAATCATTGGTTTTCACATGTTGAGCGTTTTACAGCACGTAGGAACGCGATGTAAAACGCCCAGTTGTGAACCAGGCCTAAACTGATGAGCGGTAAAAGCATTTAAAACGTCGCCTATGGTCAATTTTGGGTGTGGTCGTTTTCTGCGATTTCACGGGCACGCGGTATTTTAAGGCTTGACATGTTTGGTGTCCATTTACCCGACGTGACCCCGTCTTTTATATTTGACCCAAAAATAGGGTAATGGTTTCCTAACAACAATGCAAAAAAAACTTTTTTTAAATGTTCGGTAGTTTTTTCCTTAATCTAGTAAAAAATAACCCCCCCCCTCCCCTGTGGTGACTGAATACCACTAAAAGAAAGCTTTATGTGCCCCCAAAAAATAGTGTAAAATTAATTTCAGTACAGCGTTGCATGGCGGAATAAATGTCAAAGTACCGCAGCGCTGAATAATGGCCGGGACAGGAAAGGGGGTTCAACACCGCGGTCAGCAAGTGGTTAAAGGAGAACTATGGGGTTAAGGCTTTTCCCCATAGTTCTCCTCAGGGTAACGGGAGGACACAAACTAGCGTCCTCCCGTCACCCTGAGCTCAGTATATAGGGAGCTGCTGCTCGCGGTATACTGAGACGCTGAAGCGGATCTCCAACAATTGTGCCGGGATCCGCCCAGCTGCGTGACTGACAGCTCTCTCTGCCTATCTAGAAGCAGAGCCAGCTGTACCCACCCCCTCCCCCGTCCGTTCCGCCAGTCAGCGCTGGCAGATCGGAGGGGGGAATCCAGCCCCTCCCCCTGTCACGGCAGAGAGCAGTGACAGGATCGAGAGGTGAGCGAACGCCGGTATCTGTTCGCTCACTTCCCGATCTACTGAGCCGACCTCTGACAGTCTCATTGTCACAGGTCAGCTAGAACTATGAGGTGAGGGAAAAGCACCCCCCTCATAGTTCTCCTTTAACAACCAATGGACAAGCTGGAATTGTAATTCTTTAACCCTTCACAGTCCCTTCTAACATTGCAGAAGCTAGAGAATTTTTAACCCTTAAAACCCTAACCCAAGTAAAAGCAACTTAAAATAAAAATACAGTAAGAATAAGAAGAAATAAAATGCTTCCTTCAGTTTATTTCTATTTTTATTAAAATATTTATATAAAACCTTTTTTATTTTTTAGCGTATGCAATGGGAACTTGAAGCAAATCTAAAACAGGTGCTGTCCCAATTTGGCTATGAAAGTGGAAATACACTAAGTGCTCATTCAGACAGACCTGCACGGCGTCCGTACAGCGTGCATGCCCATCAAATCCCTGAATGGAGAGGTGCTGTGTGTAAGCGCGGGCAGCAGCCTGCTCTTCCCTATGGGATGACCTGGCTGCACGCAGTTACACGGTCGCACACCCAAACCTGCGCGTCTAGGTGTCCACACTTGGATGCACAGTGTCGGCACGCAGGAATTAAAATATATGCTTCCATGTGCCTCTTTGGCGTTCATTTCTAAATGTATATGGCTAGGCGCACACCTAGAAGTTCAGCTGCGTCCACACAAGAATTTCCTGTGTCCGGGGACCGTTGTCTGTCGGGTGTCACATGATTAAAACTTCACATCTAACCACAGGAAACGGGGATTTAGGAAGCAAGAAAGAGGCCTGTGTGCATTGGTGGCCTTAACCCCCTATTATCCCCTCCCCCCTCCTCCCTTTCACTATTTCCTGCTGACCTTTTCTTTTTACTAATTTTCTAACAATATTTGAAACCTTTTTCATTTATTTATCTGTAGCGTCACACTAAAGTTAAAGAAAAAGCCTTTACTTCATTTGTGAATAATTTTTGCAATTATTTGTCCTGTTTACACTTTTTTTTGGCTGTCTATGAATTGCATAACATATTAAATCCTTTTTCAAACACTATATTGGCATAAGCAAAATAAAATGTTTTATATTTCGCTCTTTCTTTTGTCTCTCTTTTTTTTTTCCTCGCGCTCTCTTTTCGCTCTCGCGCTCTCTCTAAAAGGGAAAGTTTTCAAGGAGGACAGAGCCTTGGCGGACCCCTGGCAAAAGTCACCTGACAAGTCACGCAACGCACATAGGGTGGGCGGAGCTACTGACGGTCATTCTCACGGTCTAGCCGGAAGGACCGGGAGAGTGCTTACTCTTGTTTGCTTTTGCCAAATCCCTCATTGGGACTTTGTTTTGCCTTTTCTCATTTGAGACATTTTGCGAGTACCTCTTATTAAATATTGCATTTTATTGGACGGTACGCGCTATGCATTTGTTTCTTTTCGGATGGACGTCATCTGTGTGCGTCTTCCATGATTGAATTTGGAGCTAGCCACCCCACCCTATGTGCGTTACGTCTCGCGTGACTTGTCAGGTGACTTTTTGCCAGGGGTCCGCCAAGGCTCTGCCCTCCTTGAAAACTTTCCCTTTTATGTACATCTCTTCCCCCGGTCGTTGATGACCTCGCATGGCTTCCAATAGCATCTCTATGCTGATGAGTGGAAATCACTTACCTCGTAGTTCTCCTTTAAAGGCAAATATTTTAGTGATATGGCTGCCGGCAAGTTGAATCACATGCTGGCTTCTCAACTGTCTGGGATTTGAGTGATTTGTGATATGGTCAACAGAACTCCTCCTTGTTGTCCCAAACTTCCACTTGAATGTATTTGTTAATATGTAACTCCCGAATTTAGTGTCACTTTAATATGTAACTGAATTGAACACCTTAGTTCGGCATTTGATTTTTGTTCTTCTGGCTAATTGGACACCGACCAGTGGGAATCCTGGTGGTATGACGATCCCCAATTGCCACCTCCACCGTGCTGGTGTGTTTTCCGGGCTGTATTTAGACTTTTTTTTTTTTTTTTCCCTCAATAGAAGCCTTCGATTCATTGCACTGATGGGCAAAAAGCCTGAAACAAAATTTATAGAGCCATTTAATCCAAACGAAGTATATTTGCACTGTAATGTACACTGCTTGGCCAAATAAAAAGTCACCACCTTGATTTTTTTTTTTTTTTTTTTTTTTTGAGGTTAACCATCTTTGTTAAGGGAGCATTCAGGATTATCATGTTTTTTCCCTGGACTAGGCTGTTGGCCCATAGATGAAGCAAACCTGCTCATCCTGGTTCCGTAGCCTATGCATGTGGACATGCTTCTAGATACTGAAGGCATGTGCTGTATTGAAATGGACATCAGAGCTTTTGAGTGTTGAATCAAACAAGATATATGCATTTGTCTAAAGGTGGCCATACACTTTACAACCATTGCAAGACCTTAGTCTTGCGATGGTTGTAAAGTAATTTAAAAAAATTTACGATCTGCCCATCTTGGACAGGCAGATCATGCTTCCGATGACAGCAATGCTGAACGGGCAGTGTGCACACCAGCCCGTTCGGCATTTGTCTCCCGAGCATGCTAAACACACACACACACACACACACACACACACACACACACACACACACACACACACACACACACACACACTTTGTGTCGTACCTGTATTTAGGCTGCAACATGAGGCGTGGTTGCATACCAGAACCCCCCTAAACCACTTCCACCTTACTTGAATCTCTGGGTGCTTATTACTGTAGATGGTCTCCTCCTCCGCCAGCAAAACATTTCCCAGCCTGCAAAAAAAAAAGCAAATTGCACATTCTACAGAAAACTGTTATCCGGCATCCATGGAAATTGGTAGTTTCTGGTTGCTCGAGAGTTACTATTAAGAATGGGTTTAACTATTACTATACCCTATCGTAACAGTATATTGTACTTTAAACCATTAGCTAGGGATGTCCCGATGCCACTTTTTTAAGACCAAGTACTTTCCCGCAGGTACTTGCCGATGCCAATTACCGATACGGTAGTCCTGGTCCTCCCCTGTCAGGCATCGGGATCCCCCAGCTTTGGACACAGGGGCGGTCACTGCGGCTGCACTGCCGGTAGTTCTGCCCATGGGGCTGTCCATGGCTGTGCCGGGAAGGAGGAGGAGATAAAGAACCAGGCAGGAACTGCCATGGACAGCTACTTGCAGGTCACCAGCAAGCTGCTGATGTCCCCACAAGTGCAGGTGCTCAGCAGCTGCGGCGGTTTAAAAATTTACCGGTATGTGGCTTAAGAATCGGGGCATTTTTACAAGTACTTGTGAAAATGCCTGGTATCGGACCCGATACTGATACTAGTATCGGTATCTGGACATCCCTACCATTAGCAATACATTGCAGTACTGGCAGTGATTACTAGGTGGCGCTTGTCCACAGGATAACCTCGCACTTTTTTCAGAGATCGTTCAGACACTCGATTCCCAGGATAATCCAGAACTTTTCAGCCTGTTCCTGTACCTTTCCATGCTCCAGAGCTCCCTCTCCTAGAAGGTGGCAGAACCGCGAGTACACAGGGGGTTTGTTTTTTGCTGGTTAGATAGGAGTTCCAGTTTGCTGAATACCGGATAACAGAGTTTACTGTATTAGGGTTAAAAACCTGAGGTTTTAGTTGCACAATTATGCAAAATACGTGGAAGCTGCAAGGCCCACAAGTCAAGGCCACTCTGTGTAGTGTGGTCCTAACTCTATGAGAACCACCCTCATAAAGCATATACATGTGCTGGTGCGCCAGGAGGTGCCCATTCCGCCTTTTTGAAGGCACAGGGACACACCAGGAGCCCCGCACATCACAATGGCAGCTGAAGCCCCCAGTGTGTCCAAACACCAAATCCAACAAATGGCAACCGCACTCATCCATTTATAACTAGCTATGTCTCCTGAGCACAGAATAGAAGGTAGCCCTTA